CCCGCCAAGTCGACCGTGCGTGTGTTTTTAAGGTATCCGAAATACATCTCGATGACTTTCCCCTTGTGCCAACCCGGAGGCATAACCGGTTCGACATGGGTTCAGGATCCACTTGGGAGCTGCAGTTACTTGGCCCGCGTAGCCGTTCTGTGCGGACGGAAATGGGAGCCAGGGGGAATTTTCAGAAAGCAGGATCAAGACCCATGTTCTTTTAAGGAGGAGCCTTTGATGGCACTGTCAGTTTAAGTGTTGGGCTCTTAACAGCAAGGTCACTGGTTCGAACCCGCCAGCCTTTCTGAGGAAGACCGAGAGGGCTAGCTGCTCCGCCTTGGACTTGAAACCCACTGGATGACAGCGGGTGTTTGGTCCTGGTGTAGTAAAGGGTGGCAACCACTAGGCTGCACTTGCCTTGTGGCGGTAGAAGGGTCCTGGCTTAGAGTTGTAATCCGCCAACACCAACAGCCATCAGCCAACGGTCTTGCCCTTGTGGGTGTGTGGGGCTGTAAATCTTGCCAGGAGTGTATAAATTCTCACTTTTCTCCCCAAGAGCACCTGGTAGTTTGGAACTGCTGACCTCGAGGTTAGTAGCTCAACGTGTAACTCACTCTGTCACCAGGGCTCCATTCTAATATGCAAGACTTAAGTTTCTGATTTGTGCTACACAGACTGATCTTTATGAAATGCCATCTGTAGTCTTTCCTCTCTAAGAATCTTGCACTGACTCCTCACTGCCCTCCACCACGCTCCCTGTTCTGTAACTGTTAAAAGGCAGTGGAGGCCATAGGTGAAGGTGAAAAATAGCTAGGTTCCAGATGGCACGGGGACACACACACAACTACCCCAATATTGCATGGTACATAATTAGACTAAAATTGTTTATCTTTAAGTCGAATTAACTGAGAATCCTATATATTTAAGGTTGGGCAGCTTACAGTAAGGTTCAAACCCCACCCCACCCCCAACTGTTCTAAGGGAGAAAATTGAGACTCTTCTCCAGTAAGGATTTAGAGTTTCTGAAACCCAAAGGGACAGTTCTACTCTAACTTACGGGGTTACTAGGAGTCCGAATTGAGTCGACAGCAGTGGGGTTTGTTGATTGTTGGTACCCTATATTTTATCTGGCAATCCTACTCGGAAAAGTTTTGAGTAAGTGCATTCAAGAGGATTCATCTCTTCATCCCCTGCCTCTGGTGCTCCTGTGAGCACAGAAAACACAAGAGTCAAAGACAGCGCAGGTTAAAATCTCCTACATGCTTTATTGGACTTCAAAGAGTCTTATGAAATGACACAGAAAAACCCATGTGAGAGGGTCCAGAGGGTACAAGGCAGTCTGTCACCTTGCAGCCTCCTAAGACCAGCCCCAGGTATACCCATCCCAGTCCTAAAATAGGACCCCAGGGTAGAGGCATGACTGGGAGTGTGGCAGAGGGAAAATACCTTTACAGCCATAGCAAAAAACAGGTAAAGGGAGGGAGTTGTCTAGAGGCTGGGAAGGGAGGGCGGGGGAGAGTGGTCATACAGCCGCCTCCACCTCCACCATCTTCCTTAGCCACCCCTTCCCTAACTGGTCGTGTCCTTTTTGAGCCTCTGGCCCAGGCTCTGCAGCAACATGAAAATAGGGTCTAACAAGGGGAGTTTGTGGAGCAGGCACTTGGGAAATTCAGGAGATTTCTTTTTTAATGGTTAAACTTTTGTCTTTTGGTTCAAATGCAACAGTTTCATTACCCAACAGCTGCAGGGCCCCATTCGAGCCCTATGTCATGGCTCTGGCTCCCATGGCCACAGAGCCAATTGTCCTGAGCCCCAGAGGTATGGGTGCTTGGGGAGCATTGGGGCAGCACCTCTTAGAGACAAACCCTCCTGCAGAGTGGGAAACAGGGAGAAGGGATGGGTGGGAGGAAAAAGGTGACTGCCTGGTAGCACAGTCTGGCATCCACTCATCGTTCAACTAAGAGCGGTCTCTCCATCCCCTCGCTTGGCCTCTCTTCAAAAATCTTTGGTGGTTTATTTCCTGGGAGTTGGCTTCACTTCCCTGTGGTCTTCTGGAGGCCTAAGTGAGTTCCCAGTTAAGGGTTCTCAGGACTACCACACTCCCAAAGAACAAGCCCCCCCAAATTAAGCTCTAGGCCCCAGCCTGGGACAAACAGAACCATCCTGGGTGGAGTGGGGCTAAGCCGAGACACTGTGTCAGAAGTTACGCCACCGATCTTCCCCACAGCTAAGGGAAGTTGGGGAGTGGGTGAAGGGAGGGGCCGGAAATCAGAAGACTGAGAGAAACAAGAAACCAAACCTCAAAACTGGGGCGGCAGAGGCAGAAGCTGGAACCCAGAGTGGAGCTGGGAGCTGAGGGGCAGAGAAGACATAGCAACTAAGACATGCACTGAAGTGGAGAGGAAGTGACAGCAGCAGCCCACAGTTGGGAGGAAGGCAGGGCAGGCAGGCCAAGGTGGTCAGTTAATAAATAATGTTGAAGGACCCAAGGACGAGGGGGGTGGGTATGTATAGTGCCCAGGCCCCTGGGCCAGCCTGGCCCATGCCCCCACTCTAGGGCCCAGGTACCTTGGGGGAGGAGAACAGGGAGGCAGAAGACCCAGGAAAGGACTACCAGCCCAATCCTGCCTACTTTTTAAGAGGCTTCTTAAAGATTTTGAGGGGAAACTTCTTCCGGCCTGGGCTAGAGTCTGTCTCCTCACTAATGGAGCTGTTATCCTCCTCAGCTACCGCCTTCTTGCCAGCTAGGTGGGGAATACGTGTATTTCTACTAGCCTGCAGGGCTCGGCTGTCCCCGACTGGAGATGGTGTGTCTGGGTCTGGGGAACTGGGGCTGTTGGAACGGGAAGAATCCAAGGGTGGAGAGCCACTAGGTGGAATGGAGGGGCTCAGCTCCATCAGGCTGTGGGCCACATCCAGCCCATGGTTCAGCGCCAGCGGTGCCTTCTTGGCCAGGGCAGGGCTGTCAGGCAGTTTCTCCACCAGAGACCCTGGGTGGACCCCCTCAATCAGCCGGTGGCTGCCATTGGAAGTCATGGCACTGACAGCCTCATCTGCAGCACGGACCATGTGAGGAGGTTTGGGGGCCATCCGCTGGCGGTCACTCATATGGAGGGAGGACTCCGAATCGGAATGGGTCAAATCCCTGCAAGACACGGGGCAGAGGACAAAGAACAGGACACATACAGGATGGAGCAGTGGGGGAGCCATGTGAAGAGACAAGGACAGGGTAGAAAAATGAAGATGGAAAGAGCGACAGAAGAAAGAAAATAGAATGGACGGGCAGGTGGGAAGGAAAGAAACAAGGAAATTGAGTAGGACAGATATAAATAAGGTAAGAGGAGACCAGGATAGATAGAGAGAGTCGGATAAGAGACCGGGAGAGTAGAATTGGGGAAGAAGAAAATAAAAAGGGGAAGCAGACCAAGGGGGAAAAGGAGAGGAAAAATAAGGGAAGAGAAGAGACAGACAACAACAAAAAAAACATGTTATTATGGCATCAATTGCCTGGCCAAGGGCTTCTCAGTGACCGGCCCACTACTGCTGGACACCTATACGATATTTCTAAGCTTAAATCCCACAGGTTCCCTCCTCATTAAAATAACCTCTTTTCCACAGCTGACTCCTTTTCTTCAGACTCGAACCTGAACTCAGACTGAACCGCCTCTTTCTGAGCCACATCTATGACACCATTTCAATGGCTTCCTCCCCAAACCTACTCCTTTCACCCCAGGCTAGGTCCAGTTCTGGGATAGGCCCAAGGAAGAAGGCACATGCAATCAGTGGGCCTGACCCTGGCTGAGGAGAAGGAGGTTAGAATAGCCTTGCAAATAATCCCACACCAACCCCCAAAGGCCAGGATGCTGCCATTTCCAACCCTCTCACAGGATGCAAAGGAGATCATAAGGGGGAAAAAAGTTACAAGAATTCAAACAGGAGTTGTAGTTTGCAGCAGGAAGGACGGGATCTCTTTCAGAGCTCTGCTGACAGAGAATATAGGGAGGTATAGAAAGTTAGAGGACAGGCCTTTAAGGGCATGGGTTCCAAACAGTTCCAGACTATAGAGGTCTAGATTTCCATCTGGTTCAATTCCAGCTCTGCCCGGGGCTTGCTATGTGACCTGGGACAAGTCATCTAACTGCTGGTCCTCAATTTTGGCCAAATGAAGATTTTTATCCATTCAATTATTTTGCAAGACAGTTTCAAGGATCAAATATGTTGGCAAAGCACTTTGAAATGTAGAAAGTATTGAGGGGTTGAAGAGAAGCTTGGTAGAGCTGCGTGTGGGTGAGTCACAATGGGCATCTTTGCAAGGCTGAGTTATGGGGACATGCCACTGCACATTAGACATGCACACACACACAGGCTCAGCCAGGAACTCAAGACCCTTTAATGGGCTGTCTCTTCCTAAAAAGGCTATGAACCAATTGTAGATACCACCCCACCCCCACCTGCTTCTACAGACAAAAGGGTAGATGTGAGGCTCCTTAAGCCAGTCCCTGAACCCTCCTTCTGCTTTCCAGAGGTCTGAGAGTCCATGGCAGAAGCAGAAGATAGGGCTAAGGGAAATGCTTAAACATGTGAGTCAGAAAGCCAAAGGAGAGGAGTCATGAATAGGAGAGAACATCACAGGACCTGGAGAGAAGGATGCTGAGGGCCGGACATCAGAAGGGCACCGGGCCACTGAAACGGGCAAAAGCATGGGTTAGCACCTAAGTCTCAGTAGGACCAACTAAATAAGCAGCCACCCCATGGGCCAGGACCTTGCTTGAGGTATGGGAGAATAGAACAATTCCAGCTGCAAACCCTGTTCCAGGCACATATTCTAGCATTGACCAGCATTCGGTCTTACACTTGACCTCACTCATTTAACGCTCCTCGATTCTACCCAAATGCACCCTGTCTCTCTGAGCCCCCAAGATGATCCTCTCCATCTCCTGCCTTCTCCACACACAGGAAACACTGAACAAGGTGCCAAGGAAGTTCTAGGGGAACAACCGCATGAAAAGGGATCTTCTTAGCTGAGGAAGAGAGGTCAAGAGTTCGGGACCCTCCCAGCCTCATTTAGTCTTCCTACCCAGACCCTGTGCCTGCGAAGGCAAATGAACGAACCAAAGTTGAGATTTCCAGGGCAAGACAAGAATCTGGGAGGAAGCCTGGGTAGATAGAGAAGGAAAAAGGCCCGCAAGAGCAGACTCACCTTCCCTCTCTGAATCTTTGAGGCCATGTAGGCCAAGGGTATCCCTCCCCAAAGGCCAGGCTGCCTTCGGTGCCCATTCCCAAGCTACTAACCTTACCAGAGAGCCTGTTTGCCTTTAGAGATGATCCTCTGGTGCATGGTGCAAAAGAAAATTATGCAATGAACAGGCCAAGTAGATGCAGGTACCTTTCCACCCTTCCTCCCCTCTGCCCTCAGCTTAGTTCTGGGGGCATACGGTTCACAGCATCCCCAGCCCAATTTAGTCCTCTCCATCAGTATTGGGGAAGGCAGTCTTCCTGCTCAGGCTTTTGGATGAAAATGAGGATGAGAGTGAAGATGAGCAGCTCAGCGGAGTGGTGACCGTAGTAAAGGCAGTTCTTTTGTGGAAGAGGAAGGACCAGCCTTCGAGGATAACTATCCAGAGCATGAGGGTGAGAGCTAGAGAGATTGGTATCCAGAGTGAGACAGGGCCAAAAGGAAGCAGCAACAGGAAGCAGGCTGCAGCCCAGAGGCCAGGGCTGACCGTGGTCATAACTTAAGTGAAGAAAGATCCTTCCAAAGGAGAGGGACTTTCTGAGGCTCCCTAAGTTTGTCGCAAGCAAAGTCAAGGCTACTGCTTGTGCTCCTTGCCTAGCAGCTTGCGCTATAAGCAGGGAAAGTCTCCATCCAAACTGGGAGAGAGGCTTTCACCAATTCATTTGCAATCCACTTTATCAGAGTTTGCAGAAAGACAAACCTGGAGGCACAAGTTTTAGTTTTGTGTTCTGCTCATAATTAGCTCTGGGACCTGGAAGGAATTCTTTAACCTTGCAGAATCATAACTTTCTTCTCTGAAAATTAGTAGTTTCATGTCTACCTACCTATTAAACTTTGCTAGTCCAAAACCAAACATGTCTTCCCTACAAACTTGTTTCCTTTCTAACTTTCCTGAATCACCTAACATGTATTACACATCCATTCAAACATGGAGGTCATCCTAGATTTCTCCCTCTTTGCTATCCCCAACCAGCCCACAAATTTATCCCCAAATCTCCCATCTCCCCAGTGAAACCAGTCATGGAGTCAGTCCGACTCTCGGTGACCTCTCTGTGTCAAAGTAGAACTGTGCTCCAAAGGGGTTGCTTGGCTAGTTCTTCAAAAGTAGATTGCTAGGCCTTCTGAAGTGTCTCTGCAAGGGCTTGACAAACCTCAGTTTTTGATAGCAGGTAAATGTGTAATGGCTTCTACATTCCTATCGTCTCCTCCTCCAACCCTTTCTTAATGTATGCCACTAAAGTATTCCTCAAGCGTGAATCTGACCAACAGACTTTCTTTAGGAAGCCCTTTTTTGCAGCTTTCCATTTCTTAAAAGGGTAAAGACCAAAGCTCTTAGCTCTCCAGGGCCCTGCATCATTCAGATACCTATCTGCTGCCCCTTCTCAACAAAGCATCCCAATGTTCTAGTCTCACAGAAATCACATTCTCCTGAACCTTCATACCTCTGCACATGTTTCCTCTGCCTAGAATACTCTTTCTTCTTTCCCTGCACACAGACTGTTAGCACAATTATCTGTTTTGCGAAGCATTCTATCTCAGGCATATAACAAATATCTGTTTTGTGAAGCATTCTATCTCAGGCATATACTGTTAGTCACTCACTCCACCTTCACATCCTCTATAGCACTTAGCAGTTGTTCCATAAACATTTCCGTGCTCCTCCAAGACCAGACTATGGTCAGTGATGGCTGGGATTGCAGTCGCTACCAGTAAGTATTTGTTGAAGAAGTAAAGGAAGCGACGGCTCCACTTACATAACTCATCGGAAAGTGCTTCTTTTATTTTGAAAGTATGTCTTTTAGGCAAAAGTGCTATAGGACTGTGAGGGAGGAGGGTTGCCAGACAGAGAATGAGAAGGGGAGACAGTGATCTTAAGACGGTGTCTCAGAGCAGGAAAAGGACAAGACGATTCTCCACTACATACACACCCCCAACTAACCAGGCAGCAGCCAGCAGACAGAACAAAGACAGCAAGAAGGGAAGGAGTGAAGATAAGAGAGACAGCTGATACCCCAAGCTCTCTGAATGCCCAGGCATCACAGTGGTGCTGTCAGAAAGGGATGGGTCAGGGGAGGGCTCCGTCTGGAGGAAATAGGAAGTGCTGTGGTGGTAATTGACAGGGTGGACATGGACGGTGGTGGTGGTGGTGGAAGAAGAGCAGCAGGAGGAAGCAGCACAGGCAGATGGAAGGCTGGTCCCGTGGCCTTCAGAACTGAAAGACTGTCCCGATGAAAGGCTGCGTATTCGCCGCAGAGAGACCCGGCTCGTCAAGAAGTGGCCAGCCTCACTCTCTACCAACCTCTGAGATCCTAGGCCATGCTGCGGTTCCGTCAGGCGCTGTCGGACACTGCTTTGCAGGCTCGGGGCTGCAAGGAGAATGAAGAGAGTATGAGCCTGGGCAGGGCTTGAGCGCAGGCAGGGCTTGGGCTGGCCGGCAAGCAGGACCGCCCCTGGAGAGATGTCTGTTGGAGACCACTCTGGGCTTTTGGTACCCAATCTGAAGAACAGGGCACCTCCTCCCAGAAACCTCCCCCGGGGATCCTGAAAGGAAGGGGAAATTCAAGATGAGGTGCTCAGGTCAGTTTTAGTGGCAAGTCCAATGGAAAAAGACCCAAGGTCAATGTTACTAAAAAGGGAGGTAGCAAGGCTGTTAGTGGTGGGGGGAAACAGGCAGGTGGGGGGTGGATGGAGGCTTGGGGCAAGGTCCGGGAGAGCACTAAGAACCAGCCTTTTTAGAAAGCCAACCTCAGGATATATTTCATAACTTAAACAAGGATCTCTATAGGAAGGGGCTTCAAAACGCTCATGGAAAAACTCCAGTGTCGTTAATTCCATTTTCCCACGACCTTTTTGAAACCCTCTCCTACCAGCATGCTCATCACACCACTATTGAGACCTGTATGAAAGTAAACATACAGGGGAACACTGAAAGAATACTGCCCAGTTGCTGACAGACTAGAGGACTATGAAAAATTATGTGACAGATTTTAAAAACATCGAAAAATGCCTATTAAGGTGTTAAATGAAAAACGAAACCAGGATACAAAATCTTAGGTAATAAAAACACTCTGGGCTTCAGAATATGAGAGAGACTAGCACTTGACACTGGCCTTTCCACCTTCTAGTTGTGTGACCTCGAGCAACATACTTTCACATTCTGAGTCTGTTTACAAGTTCACAGAACCCTACAGTTTTGTTTTGAGGATTCTGGGTAATGTCTTTAAAGTAACTGACCCATTTCTGGCACCTAATATGTGGCAGAGGTTATGCATATCTTAATCACATAAAAAAGTTTCCATAGAATGAGAAAGTACTCAAATATGGCAGAATGGATGCCTTGTTCCTACTCATGTGTATTCTTATTTACCTTCCAGATTTCCCCCAGTCGACATGTTAACAACAAAAATACACCTCTTGGAGAGATGATACAAATCAGAACCTTAGCCGATGTGGGCCACCAGGCCCAAGGAAAGGGGACATGGGCACCAGGTAACAACACTGTTCTAAAACTCCTTCCCAAGGGGACCCATTAGGCTCAGTCCCAGCTTTTAAGCTCAAGCTTAAAAGATAATTCAGGCTTTTGTTCTTTCTCCTCTATCCTGACAGATGGGTCACTCTGCCTTCTCCCTACATGTGGGAGAATGGGCCAGGTTACTGGGGTGTCAGAAGCCTTGAAAGGGCCACCAGGGAGAGAGTACAATTCTATGGTGATCGAGAGTTGGGGAGGCAAGGCTTTTATGGCTGGCAACATTCAAGGCATCAAAAGGAGGCTGAAGGGGTAAGAGGAAGCATGAAAAAAGGGAGGGGAAGGTGATCTCTCCTTCTTCTTCTCATCCCAACCCAGCTGACAGGGGACATGGGCCTTGCTGAACTACAGGGCGAAGCCCAAGCCTCCCATCGCCATGGTGTTCTCTCTGCAGCCCTCAGCTGAGCAGGCTGATTCTTCTCACCCCCCGAACCCTTCCCTACTGTTAGTAGGGACAGTGCTGAGACAGAGGGAGCAGGCAGGGGTGTGAGGCAGGCAGGAGAAGGGGCCCGTGGGGTAGAAGTGTTGGTTTAGTCCCAAAAGTTGGAAAAACAAAAGCCCCCAAAGGGGCTTCTCAAACCCGGGTATTTCCAGAGGGACTGATCATCCGAGCCGGCGGATGCAGAGCAGAGAGAACGGTCACTGAACCTACGCCCCATCAGCCAGGCAGCATCTAGGGTCCAACAGCCAGGCCAAAAGGAGAAGAGAATCTGATTTAAGAAGGCTTCAGCCTGTTCTCTTAAAGGAGCAAGGGGGGCGGGGGGAGGGGAGGGCAAGGGGTATGGGTAGTTTAGTCCCTCCCAACCTGGAGATAGAAGCCTTTAGACCAGGAAATCAGGATCATACAATGCCTGTCACTGATCTTAACCTTGTTAGGCCTTTTGGCTAAGCGTCTGGCCAGGGAGGCAACAGGCTTGGCCAGGAGCAAAGAATCATTGAGGAAACTTAGAAACAAATCCCCTCTGGAGCAGGAAGCCCCTAATCTAGGCCCAGCTTCCTGCCATCCCCGTGCGCTGGTGGGATATGAGCCTGGGACAACAGCTTTCCTATAAAAGCCTATTCTATTTACCTGTAATAGCTTCGGGTCTAAAAAAATAGCCTTGGGTCTAAAGAAAACTTCAACCATGAGTCAGTAAAGGAAAAGTCCCTTCATTCACTAGGTAATTCCGAGCATGTTCCCCTTTGGCACTACTTTAACTCAGCCCTCATCCCCCACAGGGGAGAGGCGAGGGAAGGCCCAAGAATTCAGGTGGAAAGCCAGGCATGTTTATGCAGGAGATCCTTCCTGGGCGAGAATGTCTCTCCAGCTTGAAGGATTTTAGGCTTATCTATCGACTTACAGGGAGAAAAGATGGGGCTTTCTACTCCTGTAGAGTTACGGCCTTGGAAACTCACAGGGGCAGTTCTACCCTGTCTTACAAGGTCGCTATGAATTGGCATTGATTCAATGGCAGTGAATTTGGTCCCCTTAATGGCCTAGGGGCTTTGTGAGGCTTCACATGAAGAGGCAGACAGAGAGAGATACCAGTCTACTCATCTTACTTTAGCAATTAAGAATTGGACCATAAAAGAAAAATAAATTAGTGTCATAAAAAGTCAAAATGATTGCCATATTTACATTATGAACCATAAAAGGGGATTGTTTTTATAAAGGCAGATAGCAGAAAAGGAGGATAAAAGAAAAACAACAAAACAGACACATAAAATAGGCCCAGAGACAAGACATGACAAAATAACAATTCATAAATTATCAAGGGCTCATGAGGGAGGTAGGAGCGGAGAGGGAGGGGAAAAATGAGGACCTAATGCGGGGGGCTTAAGTGGAGAGAAAATGTTTTGAAAATGATTAAGGCAATGAATGTACAAATGCGCTTTACACAGTTGATGTGTGTATGGATTGTGGTAAGAGTTGTATGAGCCCCTAATAAAATGATTGAAAAAAAAAAATAGGCCCAGAGAGTAGACGGCATTCGGCAAGGAAAAATCACCAAGGAGACAGTTATGAAAAAATATCCTGATGTACTTGTGTTTTATTAACCAAGGTCATGAGACAGACTGTCATCCTTGGTGTCTGCCCATGTATCACTGAACCGCAGCAGAGGCCAAGGGCTGATGAACCTGTGCACCAAAGGCTCCTTCCCTCACCCCACTCAAGAGGTCACCTACACTGCATGGACAAGGGCGACACGATCTCCTCGTCCATATCATCCACGTCGTCAGTCATGATGAAGTGGGCAGGGTTGGGCCGGGCGCTGCCCATCCAGCTGGGGTCGATGTTGAGAGCAGCCACCAGTGAGTGAATGCCAGGGTTATTGACAATCTGGAACCCACAGAGGATCTCGATCTGTTGCCAGCGGTGCAGGCGCTCCCGCAGTGCTGCCGTCACCTCACTTAGTGCTTGCCTGAAGATGAAGGAGAGAATTGCAGACATGGCTGAGTGTGAACCCAAGAGACAGAAGGCCTCTTCTCAGAGGACCAAGCTGGGAAAATACTTGTCAATCAGCAAAACAACAAAATAAAAACCGTAAGAGCACGCTGGGCGCTGGGCCAGGTTGGAGCAGAACAGAGATGTCCTTCAAATAATGAAGGAGTAGAACTGAGATGGGAAACCCTCTCCACCCCCAAAGCTGAGGATGGCACAGGCAGTGCCAGGGCTGGGAAACTGGGGCACTTACTTAGCCGTCAGGATTTTGTGATCCACATCATCCAGGGAAGAGCTATGGGCCACATGGAAGGTACCAAAGAGCGTGTTTCTCTTCTTCTTTATCTTCTCAGCCTGCAAAGATGAGGCCCCCAACTTAAAGAGAGCAGGAATTAGATGTAGAAAAAAATGAGCAAGACCTTCCTGTGGCTGGGTTTACCTCCTCCTAGCACAGCTTAGGCTGCACGAGGAAAAGGAAGAGAAGGGGGTAAGGGGAAAAGGTAGGTGGTGCAACACAGGGAACAAGAAGCAGCAAGGGGGTCTCCTGACAGTACACAAGTCCCAGGAGGTTCTCTGTCCCTGCGGCAGTCAAGGACTGGTAGTCTATAGCTGGCAGGGCCATCTTGTTATTGGCCTTGTCTTTCTTATAAGGCAGCTGGGAGTCTCCCCACTGCCATTCCCTCCTCCAGAAGCTTGAGGACATCATCAGGAGCTGCATGAGAGGTGTCTCTTTCCTGATAACATCCAAACGTGTGAGGTGTCCAGCGTGAAGCACAGGAGAGGTAGAGTAAAGGGTAGGTAAGAGAGAGGAAGAAAACAGAAAGAAGGTATCAGGAGGGCTGGTCTCACCCCCTCCTTGGCCACCAGCAGCTGCTTCTCGGCATTTTGCTTCTTGATGTTATAGTACTGCACCTCCACCTCGTGCGTCAGCTGCAGCCACTTCTGAAGGGCTTCTGGAGCATACCATGAGCTGTGTGACTCCAACTCCTTCTCCGCTTTCCTCAACGCCTCCCGAACCTGTGCGGCCAAGAAGTTGTGAGTCCACTTACTACTACCATGATCTTCACCGACACTAATGTGTGATACCTGAGAACTCAAGACCTCTTTATCTGCCATCTCATGTACGCTTTACAACTCATGCAAGAATTACTCTTCGTATTTCATATGTAAGAAAGCAGGCTCAGAGGTGGGGAGTAACCTCACTCAAGATCACACTGTCAGCAGGATCAACGAGAACTCAAACTGAGCTCTTTTCTGCTCCTAGTTTAGCCTCTTTTCCTCACCCTATCAGTTGGCTCTCCTGGTCGCACAACCAAGCTCAGCAATTTCCCGTTTTCTTGAGCCACAGGTCAGCTCAGTGACTCTTCTTTCTGAGAGCTGGGATCTGGTGCTTGCGCCTCAAAGTCTGGTTTGGGACACTGGGTGTGTCACTCAACTGACCATATGACTCTGCTTCCTACAGACAATCTCAACTCGGTGTGGGGTAGGACTTCCTTCCATGCAAAGCCACAGCAAAGGGGTTATTGTCTTAGGAGAGAATGAGTTCCCTATGAGAAGAGACATGGGAAGAATTCCTGTCAGAACTACTCCAGAGGGGATTGACCTAAATGTGCTCCAGAGTCTCCTCTAGTGCAGACAGATTCATTTCACCCTTTAATTCTTGCACTGAGCACGGCTGGTTCGTTGTGAGGGGCAATCTCTACAAGGTGGGGAAACAACAAGTTTGTCCACATCTAACATGGGCACTGATGACAGAGGTATGAAACGACCAGTATGTACGCAGAAATCTCTTCATTGACTTTTCTGCAAAGAACATAAAATGAGGCAGTCATAAAGCACTCAAGATGAGGGACCTGACAGTATATAGAGATGTAATGGGCTAAATTCTTTGCTATAGTACTCAGATTACCGGGCTAAATTGATCTCCAACTCCCCCATCTGAACACTGACCTTCACCTAATTAGGACACCAGAGAACAGAAATTGAGAATAGTCTCCTTATCCCCACCAGTCAACAAAACAGGTATCCCACAGCAAGACTGAGGTACATTCACTGCCCTCATCATTCTCCAAACATTTGCTCTCCACTCAGTACAGCCTAAGACAGACCAGGAGGGCAATAGCTCGGAACAGAACACCTTTATTCCTTCAAAGGCCAACGGGAAGGCCAAATCTTCCCTTGGTTTTTATTTCTTGAAAATAAATAACAAATAAATAGGACCAAAACTATAAAATGGCCCACCCTGTCTTTCAAGATTTAAAATGAAGAACAGATTAGTCGACCTTAGAAACAACTAATACACCAAGTCTGAAAATTCCTGGCCAAATTCTATGTTAAGAAGAGGAAATTATAAATGCCTCCTCCCCCGCCACCCCTGTCACACACCCCACTATCATGATCCGAATTCTACCTTGCAAGTCTGGCTAGA